TAGAGGATTATAAAACCAGTGAATGTTTTGCTGAAATTTGGTCGGATATAAATAAATTTGCAACAGTCAATAATATATCTATTGAAAATCCATTCCGAGGTATACTTTAATTAATTGATTACTTAACTATGTTTTTAATAAAAATTATTATTGTATTAATTATATTTTAATTTAAAATTTAGGAAATAAAAGAAATAGGAAAGAACCAAATGATCTTAAAAATTTCATTGTCACTGCTAGCACTAGTGCACAGTACACAGAACCTACACAAAGCAATGTACAGACAACTGAAGATTTCTACAGAATAAATGCGTACTATGTGATTCTTGACACACTAGTTACAAAGTTAAAAGAAAGATTTTCGAATGATAGTTTACAAATGGGCATATCTGTTGATAATTTTTTTCAACTAAAATTTGAAGAAAGTCAATTTTTTATTGATCATTATCAAGTAAATCTTCAGTTTTTAGTTTTATTATAAAAGTAATTAGTACATTTTAACTGTTTTCAGGGATTATTGGATTTATCGAAATTCAATATTCAGTCAGAGATGACCGTAGCAAAAAACATCATCTTGCAATCAGGAAATGAAATAAATTATAATACAATAAAACAAAATATTTCTAAAAGTGTGTTTCCCAACTTATACAAGCTTCTACAGGTAGCCATAACTATACCAATCAGCTCGGCTACATGTGAGCGAAGCTTTTCTGCAATGCGCAAAGTCAAGACATGGCTACGCACGAGTATGCTGCAAGAAAAATTTAATAACTCTTCAATATTGCGTACATTGAAAAAGATATCAATATTAATATTGAGAAAGTTATTGATATATTTGCTAATAAAAATAGATTTATTGTATTAAAATAATAAAATATTTATTATATTATAAATTAATAATTTTTAAAGTGCATAATATTATATAGTTAGTAATTCATATTTAGTATTAGTAGTTTTGTAATTTAGTAATTTAATAGTTGATGCGTACTGAAGAGTGAAAGCATGATAGATATTAGAGTGGGGGTGTGGGGACAAAGCCCCCACGGCTTACTTTGCAAAGCAACATGTAAGCCCCCCCTCAAATTTGATCAAATCTCCGCCTATGAAATAAATGGAACATTTAGTTTGTAATACAATAATTAGGAACAACTAGGAAACAACTTTTTATGAACATTGCTTATTTCACTCTCCGGAACTGAATATTTTTCAGTTTATTTCATACACTCAAATTTAAATTTGAGATTAGGTAAGGTTGTTATAAGTTTTTAAAGTTAGAACAAGTGTAGTTAAATGATGATGGGCTACCTAAATCTTCATAATATACTCTGCTTAATAAAAATAAGCCATCAATATTTTCCTTCAGAGATTATGCACTACCATGTTTAAAATTTGAAATATATGTCTCATTTAATGAGTAATGTTATATAATTACACCGAAAAAATGAGCTGCACTTAACAAACATGTGACGTGTCAACTTCTTACGATTAAAATCACAATAGTCAAAAAAAATTGTTGTTTAATTTGTTAATGTATATTTCTTAAAAGTTAAGTAAAATTATTTCATTGAATTATAAACTGTTTTTAATTTAGTTTTAAGGAACGGTTAAAAATAAAAAGAGGTATTCATAATAGCAAAGATAATCAATATTAGATGTAATAATTTCAATTCTAAGCTTATGCATTTTTATAATTTTAAATTAAAGAATAAGAACTATAATAAAATAAAAAAATTAAAATTAGAATTAAAAAAATAGTATTTTTTTTTTTATTCCAGGTTGCAAAATCTTTAGTATTTTTTTGTTATAAGTATTTCAATTTCAAATTTGGACATTATTTAAACGTGCATATAATTTTATAGTCAACAATTTATGGCGATGGACTCCAATTTTGAAAAAGAAAATTCTAATTAATAGTTGTAGATCTACTGTAACCAAAAAATATAAGACTTATATTATAAGTAATACATGAGCATTATAGACATTATAAGTTCAAATTCAAACAAAATTTAAATATTTAGGGTACATTATTATATTTTATTCAGATATTGACAATTTTAAATGCAATTTTTTCTCAAAAATATATTTTACCTACTGTAATAACTATTGATGGTATTATAGTAAAACAAATTACTTTAACAGTAATACTATAAAGTTTATTTTATTTGCGGGGGAAACATTTCTCCAGCCCCACCCATGGTCGGAATTTACTTTAGATAAAAGATAAGATAACATATTTTTTATCTAGATAGACAACAGATAATTTTACCCTTTTTAGGCTTTTTAAGACTTCATCAATTAAATTATAATGTTTATATACATATTTATAATTTTATAATTAATATTTTTTATTATTAAAACGTAAATTATTAATTAGGTGGTTATACTTGAGTTAACAATTAGATATAAGTTCGTGTTTACGAATAATTACAAATTGGTGACTGATTTGTAAAACCTCAAGTTACCTCAAGTCAGTAGCCAACTTTTTCTATACAATTATATTAACTAAAAACAAAAATAATTAAGTAACTGAATGTTTTTTTTTAACTTTATTATAAAGTCTATAATATAATATTATCTTCAACATATTATACGAATGAATAAAACTTTATTTAATACTTTTTAAATTACAAACAATTTATTATGTATAGTTTTTTGGTTTTTGAAAAAAATTTTGAGCACTATAATAGGCAGTTTTGTGTACATTATAACTTTAAATTTACCTTAATAATAATTGATTAAAACCATTAGTTATATAAATAAAAGATAAGATAACCTCTTTTTCATCAGATAATTATTCACTTTTTTAGGATTTTTAAGACATCATTAATTAGATTATAATGTATACGCGTCATATCTATAATTTTATAATTAATATAATTTATTATTTCACACAAAAATTCCTTGTAGATGAAATTAATAAATTTGTTATCTGCAATAATTATATTGTTTTTATAGCATTAAATCGTGCCATTAATTCTTTAAACAATAAAATGTTGTGTTGATAATTTACAATGTCAAATATATTAATATAAAGCCGTAAACGTCCAACTTGCACGATACAAATTTATTAATTTCATCTACAAGGAATTTTTGTGTGAAATAATAAATTATATTAATTATAAAATTATAGATATGACGTGTATACATTATAATCTAATTAATTGGGCATTAGTTTTGCCAGGTTTTGGGTGACTTTACCAGCTTTTGCCACAACTGCTTTTGCATGTGTTATAAACGACCACTTGCTGTCAAGCTGCAGCCCAAGGTATGTCAAGCTCTCGAAAGTGGTCACTTGGTGACCACGGATGGTGATGCGCATGTCGTTATGCGTTCTGGTGTTTGTTACTATCATGGCTTCACATTTCTGAAGTACGAGTTGTAATCCTGTCTTGGTTAGCCGTTCCTTGACTCCATTGGCTGAAATGGTCAGCAGTTGTTCCAGCTGGACACTGTCTCTGGCTTCAGCCACAATGGCGACGTCGTCTGCAAATGCGAGGAACTTGACCCCAGTGGGGAGTATAGTCCTCAGGAGCCCGTCGTACAATATGTTCCACAAGGTTGGTCCGAGGACCGAACCTTGTGGGACTCAGCATGTTACTTCAATCTCTGTGGTGCCCTCATCTCCTGTTTCGATTAGTAGTCTGCGGTTGTCTAGGTAACTGCTGATCATTTGCTGCAGGTACTCAGGAACATCTTTCTCGTGTATTGCCTTCATAATCGCATCCCAGGGGGTGGAATTGAAGGCATTTTTGATGTCCATCGTGAGGACGCCTACTTTTGACCTTGTTGTCTTGATAGTAGCCCTCAACGCCTTCAGTGCGTCCGTTGTTGATCGGCCCTTACGGAAACCAAATTGCATATCGTCCAGGCCCCCGGTATTATTTAGGTGGTACCGCAATCGGGTGTCCAGGATTTTTTCAAACAGCTTTCCCAAGCAGTCCAGTAGGCATAGGGGTCTGTAGGATGATGGTTCGCCAAGGGGTTTGTCATAAGAAAACCGGTTTTGACCGTGGCCGCCTGGTATGTTCTCTTTTGAAACAGGGTATACGTTATGAGCCCCCAAGCCCCTCCCTTCCACCAGCTCGACACGTGTACCAAGCCCCTGTACACCACCCTCCCCTCATCGCCATACGCTTGAAACGCTTTCGAGCGAAAATCCATCATCTGGACGCCTCGGACGTTTTCAACGTAACCGTTCAGTTCAGATTATAACACCATCGAGACATGTATGCATAAAAGTATTTTTCTAAATAGAATTTTCTGCCGTACATAGTCACAAATATAACCGATTAATAGGTGAGAGAGACTTTTTCTCAAAGACGAGACTAACACTCTGTACAAAACTACTTATCTCGGAGAAAGTATGTTAGCCGCCGAATTGCACCTACAACAAGGATGTCACGTGCTACAGAGCGGACGTGATCTATTAAGGATTCACAAGTTGTAATGGGCCATCAGCGTATCGATCTCGCTCAAATCTAACGTAAAGTTAGGTTGTAGTGCAAATCTATTATATAGATACGTATCTGAGTTCTAATGTTCATGTCGACAAATCGTCGACCATAGAAGATATTTCTGCAGCTATCAACAATATTCACTACTATCTTCACGCATCTCTATATAGATAAAACTATCTCTCGGTAGTTTGTGCGCATCGCAATTCTGAATGGATATGTGAATTTCATCACCATTGTTTAGCGCAGACGACAAAAACGGTAAAAAAGAATGTAAAAACATCTCCCGTATCGACATTTTATTAACAACGCCCTGCCCACATCCAAGAAAGATCTGTTCATAGTGTTAAGGAATATAAATTTACTTGTTGGCAATACATGTGGGGACATGCGAGGTGTGTGCCCGTGATAAACGACATGGGCGAGGGTGGGGTGGCTAATACGTAGCGTATTGATGAGGAGTGGTACATCGGTCAGTGGTGTGATAGGGCGGGCACCCGGTACCGTGGTATGCGTTTGAGGTGAAGATATAAGATAACTATCCTGAAAAAGTCTAAACGATATGTAGATACGTGCATCAATACTTGGGACAAAAATCCATAGAAAAACGAATTATTTATAAAGACGAAACGAAATAATATTATTGTATCGAAATTTAAACTGAAAACAAAAATAATAAAACGGAGTATTGACAAAGTATTTTCTTTATATTCACAGGGTACCTATACAGAGTCTTCGTCTGGAAAATCCAGAATATTGTACACTAATAAAGTAAAAATATATGTAGGTACTTACTAAGACCAGCTGAAAAAACATGTGGCATTGTGTAATTAATAGTATATTTGCATACAACC